TCGAAATTTGCTTCTGTTTATGGTGATTGGTCAGAAAGAAAAAAGGCTTAGAGTGAGAGGACAGATCCAATTTATTGGAGAAATACCATGATCATCCATTGGCAGGTCATATAGGCGTCAGGAAAACGTTCACTAGGGTTGCGCAAAAGTTTTATTGGCCGCAGATGAAGGCGGATGTAGCGAAATATGTGAGGAATTTAAAGTTTGTCAGCAGGTTAAGCCTGATAATTCATAGCCAGCTGGGGATATGGTCGAGAGGTCCAAGGCTGTCGAGCCTTGGGAAATGATTTGTGTATATCTCGTAAGGCCTTTGGTGAAGTCGACCCATGGCTACCGATATATTTTAACGGTAGTAGACTATTGTTTCGAAGTTTCCACTTTTGTACCTCTTACGGACTGCCACGGCGAAGGGCATCTGTAAGATTCTTGAGGATCAGAACTTTCTTTTGTTCGAAGTTCCTCTGTCGGTGGTCTGCGAAAGGAGTCACGAACTGTGGGGCCCTGCGGTGCGTATGGTACTCAAATCCAGTACACCGCCCACTACCACCCGCAGGCTAATCCGGTCGAAGGATAAACCAGATAATAAAAACTACGCTTAGAGCTTACGTTTCGGAGAATCAGCGATCATGGGATCAGTATTTAGCTAAGGCAGCGTGCTTGGAAGAGTTCATTGCGAAGTTAGCCAGGCAGTATAATCTTAGGAGACGGGATCTCCAGTATATGAAAGGAGAGTAAGTGTGGAAGAAAATTTTTGCTGTCGGATGCAACGAATTATTATGCTGGGAAGTTAGCACAAAGGTACTTATGTAGGGCCGTTTGTGATAAAAAGGAAGGTGTCGCCATGGACTTACATATGGTCTGGTGGACGACGCAGGCCGAGAAAAGGGAACTTGGAACGCTAAAGAATGGAGACCGTATAGGGACCAGTAGGTCAACTTTTATGCAAAGGAAAGTTTCGCTTTAGTTTCAATGGGAAAGGGGCGGAGTTGTAGCGTACTGGCCGCAACAAAGTTTTCTTTTGTTATTCCTTCGTTTTACCCTTATTTCCTTTCCCTCTAACCGATAGTAGCGAACCCTACCTGCAACTAGTTTCGTTAATAATAGCTCAGCTTGAAGAGCAAGCAGCTGATTGTCGGTACCGATCAATAGTAAGTTTTTGTCTTATCGCGGCACTTTTGTTGTCCGCCGTATGATGGCCATGGGAAAGCTCATGATGTTTGTTTGTGTGCGCCGTGGTGGCGACCGGTCTTGCGCCCAATCCGTTTTTAAAATTAACGGGCCGGCGCCAATTGATCGGGCACAAACAACACCGGCATTGAGGCCCGGTGGTTTTGAGGATCGGCGCGTAGGTTGCGGCCCAACTTGTAGCTGCGCGACGGGGCAGAACCAAGTGAGCATTGATCAGGAAAACATGCCTATTGTGTGCGAACATAATTGTTGTTATCCCATCGTTCAATTCCTTTATGTGAGTATATTTGTTTATTTGGTTTGGCCCGTTGTATTGTTGTTGCGCACGGTAAATGCATCTAATTTGGTACATTAGGTTGGCCGGTTTTTGTAAACAAAAAGTAAGGCGACAAGGGAGATATAAAAAATGGATTGCAGAAATCAAAAGAGCATGTCCAACTTAGTAAATCTGCATCAAAATCCCAAAAATCTTGATTTTGGACATTCGACATCCGTTTTCTGAGACGACGATATATATTTCACAACGCTGTATTCTATAAGTTGGCCGATTGTAAAGAACGATGGGTGGAGTTTCAAAGAAAAACTGAATTATTTCCGAAACCTTGTATAAACGTATACATAATAAAAAATTATTAATTTCAAATTTTAAAGGAATATATTGTAAACACACATTCACTTAGGAATTCCATCAAACAAATCTCATATTTTATGTCCTAAAATACCAGCTGTTTATGCTTGAAGAAAATTAGTGTGTTTTGAATGAGAGGGCCGATTGATCAACCGATCTATACATACATATCGTCGTTTAAAGTACAAAACCGCGTATCGTCGTTCTGCAAAACCGCGTAACTGAAATATTTTGCCAAAAATTGAATTTGCTGACACAAGCTCTTGGGTCAAGCCTTATCCATTCGTCCTGAAATATACTAGCCAGAAATACGATTGCTTTATAAAAAAAAAAACCATTTTGAAATATAGTGTTTTTACTCTCTAGACAATAATTTAAGCAATCTAACATACGCGGTGTTGCATTATCTTGATACGACGATATGTATGTTCAGTTCCAGTCTTTCTTTGATAAAGTACAGACATTCATACATGCTAGTAGTACACAAAAAAGTTTTTATTTACCATGCGTGATACAGATTTGCTTTTAAATATAGTTTTGAATAGTTTAAAACGTAAAAGAGATTTCGAAGTCGATATACAATGCACTAAAAAGAGTATATCAGATAATTTATGTTGGTTGTTTGGGGGCATGAAGTGATTTCCTTTCTCAAAATCATGAAAGTACGATATGATGAATGTTACTAAACTATTGGCGAACATTTTATTTTCAAAGCACAACTTAAGAAAAGTGGTTCCTTTTATTGAATTCAAAGCAGTGACGGCCATCGATTTTATGAAATATGGGTCTATACTACCGTCAGCGATTTTTTTACATATTTTATGTTCTAATACCTTATATTTACTGATATATAAATTATTTGAATCTTCTAAAAATATGTAACCAATCGCTGAAAAATCAATATTATAAAGCAACCTTTCAATAGCTATGTCAATATTTTTTGGCGGTAACTGAAAAATTCTCTTTACTAATAGTTGCATTTTGGATCGAGGTGTGTCCATATTTTGATTCTTTGTACAGAGCTTATTGCTATATAACAAGCTTATATCACTCATAAATAGCTTCAAAATTGTTTCGATGGTAAAAACATGTTTATAGCCCTCAGCCGTAGCTAGAATTCTTGACGCGGTCCGTAGCGAAAACGCAATCTCATCCAGTTTAGCGCAATATTCTTTTAAGAACGCTCTGTGGTGGCCATATTTCTCCATTAATTCCTGCGTTAATTCTGCTCCTGACGTTTCAAAATAGCTATCTACGTACTCAGCGCATATCAAAATAGTTTCAACATCTTTATAAAGTAATGTTCCAGAATATTCAGTATCTAACCATCTTAATATTTTGAAGCAATCGCCGATTGCATCTCGATTTTCCGACAGTATAGCATTCTTTATCCAGGTATCCATCCCAATTTCTGCAATGAAACAAACAAAAATATATAAAAACAAGTAATTTTTAGCAAAAAAAAACCGACTTAAAAAAATATATATGGCCCAAAAGGCGGGCTGTTACATTACATTTTGGCTCATACTGATTTTTAAATACCGCTGAAACTCGCGAGAATACAATTTTCGGATAATTTTTCTTCTTGCATCTGAAAGCATAAGTATGTGGCATTATTTAATATATACAAAAATATATTGTAACTCCTGTGGTTTAGGAGTTATGAATGTTTCAACAGCGGACTGTTGATTACAATTTTTAGAAGTACTTTTTAAAGTTGCTTTATATTATTGAAAAAGTCTGCTCTCCTAATATAATGTTTTCAAAAGTTGGTACACAGTTTCCCAGCTTCAGGATGGCATTCAAGAACTACGTATTAATTGAACTGATAAAATTTATTTTGGGGTCAATATTTGTAAAAAATAGTCGGAATGGTACGTTACAGAAAAAGACTGTTACGTTACCTGTGCGATATACGTGTAGCGATAAGATTATAATTAGGTATTTTAATCGCCTCTAGGCAAAAACGATGTGCATCCAATTTATAAATTACAATATCTTGTAGTGTAACTGAAAGTCGACCATGCTTAACGTTTATAATTATTTAATTTATTCATAACAACAAGGGTTTCATATTTCAGTTGTTTGAATATTTTGAATATAGAACTCACGCATTGTCAGGCACACGTGCCAAACCGTCAAACAAACTAACTTTAAGCTTCAATTTATTTATAATATTATTTATGCTTATGCAGCAATTATTTCCCATAAATACCCCAATATGTTAGGCTAAGAATTCAATTGTAAAAGAACCTACAAAGCGACATTGAGTTGCTCAGTAAAATAAATTCAATACAATTAAAACATAAATGAATTGTTTCATTCGATACATGGCGATCCTGCCAGCTTTTTGCGAAAATTAATTTGCAAAAAAGCTATCCTGCCAACCGGTGCTTAGATTTGAATTGCACAGTGGCAGTCTAGTGCTTTGCTGCACAGATCAGCCTGAATCCTGGTTTGCTTGAATTGCAACATTTTAAAATTTAAAAAGCACTTTGACTTGATCAGCCAAAAAAAAAAAAAAAAAGATCAATCAATCATCAAACAAAAAAGCATGGCAAGAACAAGGATAATGCCGTCTCGAGTAGTTTAAAGCCCACTGATTGGTTATCGGTGTCTGAACTCCAGTCGATGCAGTCAGCTGAGGATTTCACTATGCAGCAGTTGGAGAACATGTCAGTGGAGGAAGGCGAACGTGAAATTGAGAAAATTTATCACCTCTCACAAATTAACCACGCGTTGGAACCATCATTTGTGCCAAGTCCCAGTAATGTGCCAGTTCTCTTGATGAAACCCAATGGTCAACCCGAACAAACCACTTTGAATGAGATGGTCGACGCTGCCAAGAAACAGCCCAGCTTTGGCAATGAGGAAGTTACCATTTTCATCACTGGCTTGCCCCAGACCAGCCCTGCAGTCGCAAAGGCAAACAAAAACTGATGTGCGTCAATCCGCACTCATAGGGCCAGTAAGCGAATTTTCGCTCGTGGCAAAAATATTTTTTTTTTATATACATATACAATACATTTCTTAAGTTACTTTCAATCTTACTTTTTTTTTTTTAAAAAAAAAAATTTTTATGACTTTTTTTTAAATATTAAGCCAAAATTTTATCAATAAAAATAAATAAATGTTAATTAAAAATTTACTAAAATAAGAATTAATTAAAAAAAAAAGGGTTATAGTTACATAAAATTTTTAAAAAACTTATATGATAGGAGACAATTAGAAAAATTTAAAACTACAAGAAATTATACAAACTCCCACAATGACACAGACAGTAGTAGAATTTATAAATACAGCAACAAAGCTTATACCTGATTTTGATGGCAAATCAGAAAATTTACGTTCATTCCTTGACGCACTAACTCTGGTTGATGCGATAAAAGGCGAACATGAGGCAATAGCCATTTCCTTAATTAAGACTAAACTTAAAGGAAATTCGAGAAATTTGATTGACAATGAAAATACAATTGCGGAAATCAGTACCAAACTACGCACCACCGTAAAAGGTGAGTCAGTAGAAGTAGTGACTGCAAAACTTATGAATATAAGACAAAGTAGCAAAACTGCTACAAATTACTGCAATGAAATAGAAACACTAACAAAATCATTAGAAAATGCATATATAAATGACGGCATAAACTTAAATTTGGCAAGTAAATATGCGACACAAGCAGCCGTAAGGGCAATAACTAAAAATTGCACATTAGAAAAAGTCAAACTTATTATGGAAGCAGGTCAGTTTACTGACATGAATGAAGTAATAAGCAAATTTGTTGGAAGTTGTACAGAAGCTACAGGCCAACAAAATACCATTTTGCACTACCGACAAAGACAATTTGGCAACAGATTCCAAAACAATAGAAATTTTGGAAGAAGGTTTCAAAATAGAACCAATGTTCAAAGAAACCACAATGGCCAAAACAGCAATTATAGTGGAAATAACTATAATAATAGAGGTCAAAACAGAAATACCTACCGAGGTAATACAAGGAATATTAGAATGACCCAAACAGACAACAATAGTTCGGAAAACCCGGACATTCCCCTAAGATAAACTCGGACTACAAAATATACAATCTTAACCTTAACTTTAGCATTTACATACAAGTCAGAATTGCTCACACTAACACCGCCATAACACTACTAGTTGACACAGGAGCAGACATTTCCATAATTAAACATGACCAAGATACACTTAAACACATAAACAAAAAACACATTACAACACTACAAGGCATTGGACAAGGAAAAATCAATTCAATAGGCACAACATTTTTCGATTTAAAGTTTAAAAATTACTTAATACCACACGAGTTTCATGTAGTACAAAACGATTTCCCAATACCGTGTGATGGCATTATTGGAATGGACTTTATGAAAAAATACAATTGTCTACTTGAATTCAATGAGAATCAAGATTTCTTAACCCTCAGACCAGAAAAATTCCAAATGCACATTGAAATACCAATTATAACTACTTGTAACGATGACATAACACTCCCAGCTATGTCAGAAGTTATAAGAAGGGTGAAACTTTCTACTCCTTTTCAAGAAGTACTGATACCTAATCAAGAAATACAAACAGGTATATTCATTGCAAGTACCTTGGTAAAATCTGAAAATGCATTCATACGAATTCTTAACACAAATGACAGACCAGTAACGGTAAAACTAAACAGAATTCAATCAGAAAATCTCACTGACTATAACATAATTTCAAGTGATCAAAACAAAACAGAAAGAAAAAATAAAATTTTAGATACACTAAAGAAAAATTTTCCAAAACTATTTGAAAAAACGTTAACGGAATTATGTTCTAGGTACAGCGATATTTTTGGATTAGAAACAGAAGCAATCACATCAAACAATTTTTACACACAAAAGTTAAGGACAAAAGATACAGACCCAGTATACATTAAGAACTACCGTATACCACACACTCACAAAGAAGAAATTGAAAGACAAGTCTCAAAAATGTTAAAAGATGGAATAATAGAGCCATCATGTTCCGAATATAATAGTCCTATTTTATTAGTTCAGAAAAAATCACTTCCAAATTCAATTGAAAAAAGATGGAGGTTAGTAATAGATTACAGGCAGATTAACAAAAAATTAATAGCGGATAAATTCCCACTGCCAAGAATAGATGACATCCTAGACCAATTAGGTCGAGCTAAATATTTTTCTTGTTTGGATCTTATGTCAGGATTCCATCAAATACCACTAGAAACAAATTCACGAGACCTGACATCCTTTTCTACAAATAATGGATCCTACAGGTTTTCTAGACTCCCATACGGATTAAAAATTGCCCCTAATTCATTTCAAAGAATGATGACAATTGCGTTTAGCGGTTTAAAACCAGAACAAGCATTTCTCTATATGGACGACCTGGTAGTCCTGGGTTGCTCTGAGAAACACATGCTATCAAACCTATCGGATGTTTTTGAACTATGTCGCAAGCACAACTTAAAATTACATCCTGAAAAATGTTCATTTTTTATGCGCGAGGTGACTTATTTAGGACATAAGTGCACTGACAAAGGCATACTCCCCGACGACAAAAAATTTTCAGTAATTAAAAATTACCCTATACCTACAGATGCAGATAGTGCGAAAAGATTTGTAGCATTCTGTAACTACTACAGGAGGTTTATAAAAAATTTCTCTGAATACTCAAGACATCTCACTAGATTGTCAAAGAAAGGAGTACCTTTTCAGTGGACACTAGAATGTAATAATGCTTTCGAGCACCTTAAAAAGGCATTGATAAGTCCTACATTGTTACAGTACCCAGATTTCAGCAAACAATTTTGTATAACTACTGACGCAAGCAAACACGCATGTGGTGCTGTACTAACACAAGAATATGAGGGAAAACAATTGCCGGTGGCATATGCATCTAGAACTTTCACAAAAGGAGAAAGCAATAAGTCAACAATTGAACAAGAATTAACCGCCATACATTGGGCAATAACATATTTTAAACCATACATTTACGGAACAAATTTTCTGGTAAGATCAGATCATAGGCCACTATCTTACCTATTTTCAATGAAAAACCCTAGCTCAAAACTAACTAGAATGAGACTTGATCTTGAAGAATATGACTTTGTGGTAGAGTACCTTAGGGGAAAAGACAACTATGTTGCGGATGCATTATCACGCATTACAATTGACGATTTAAAAGATATAAATGTTAAAAATAACACTTTATACAAAATGCAAACAAGATCTATGACAAACAAAAGTTCTCTTAATCAAAACACAATTAAAACGCATCAATCTAATACATATGATAAGCCCAGTATATATGTACCTATTAATAACACTGACGTGAGAAAATACTATAAATTAAAGATTACACCCAAGACATGCTATATCAAACGGGGTAAATCTATTAAAACATATATACAAATCAATGATTTGTTTGTTAAAGGGAAATTTGACTTAGGTCAATTTTTCTCTAGGCTCGATGATGTGGCCGATAAGCATTCAATTGACAAATTACAAGTGGCACCTAGTGAGAAAATTTTCGAATTTGTCTCTATAAATGAATTTAAAGAAATGGGCAATAAGAAATTAATTAAAATGAAAGTAGCGCTACTGAATGAGGTGACCCAAATAAATTATAAAGATGCAAAAACAATTGAAAGTATATTAAAAAGATATCATGATGACCCGGCAGAAGGAGGTCATTGTGGCATTTCAAGAACCTTGAATAAAATAAAAAGATACTATTACTGGAAACACATGACTAAAACAATCACGAAATATGTTAAGAATTGTCATAAGTGTCAAATAACCAAAGTCACAAAACATATAAAAAGTCCAATGACTTTGACGCCAACACCAAACAAGGCATTTGATACAATATTCGTTGACACAATCGGCCCGCTACCATTGTCAGAAAATGGAAATGCATACGCAGTCACGATAATATGCGACATGACTAAATATTTAGTGACAATACCAACTAAAGATAAAAATGCAAAAACTATAGCTAAGGCAATTTTTGATAATTTTATTCTCGTCTACGGTCCTATGAAGACGTTCATATCGGACATGGGCACGGAATATAAAAATTCACTTTTAGAAGAAATATGCAAACTTTTAAATATAGAAAAACTAACATCAACCGCCCACCACCACCAGACGTTAGGGACGGTCGAGAAATCACATAAAGCGTTTAACCAATATGTAAGGTCATATGTATCGATAGACAAAAGTGATTGGGATGAGTGGCTTAAGTATTTTACATACTGCTTTAATACAACACCATCAACTGTACATGACTATTGTCCATACGAGTTAGTTTTTGGAAAACTTCCAAATGGGTTTCAACAATTTGATCAGGTTGACAAAATAAGCCCACTTTATAATTTAGATAATTACGCTAAGGAAATTAGATTTAGGTTAGAAATATCTCATAAAAGAGCAAGGGATATGATAGAACAAGCTAAGATAGTACAAAAATCTTATTTTGATAAAAAAGTTTTAGATTATAACTTTAAAATAGGTGATTTAGTTTTGCTAAAAAACGAATCAGGGCACAAATTGGACCCACAATACAAAGGACCATTTAAAATTAATAATATAGATTTTAAAAATAATGTAACTATAACTGATAAGAAAACGGGAAAAACCCAAATTGTACATAAAAATAGAATTAAGATATATAATCATTAAAACAATTTTTTTTTTAGTTTAAATAAATTTATAAACTATAATTATATTTAATTACTTGCTAAATAGGAATGTTCATACAATAAACTCTGTATGAGCATTCTTTTAAAAAAGGAGGTGTAGTGTAACTGAAAGTCGACCATGCTTAACGTTTATAATTATTTAATTTATTCATAACAACAAGGGTTTTATATTTCAGTTGTTTGAATATTTTGAATATAGAACTCACGCATTGTCAGGCACACGTGCCAAACCGTCAAACAAACTAACTTTAAGCTTCAATTTATTTATAATATTATTTATGCTTATGCAGCAATTATTTCCCATAAATACCCCAATATGTTAGGCTAAGAATTCAATTGTAAAAGAACCTACAAAGCGACATTGAGTTGCTCAGTAAAATAAATTCAATACAATTAAAACATAAATGAATTGTTTCATTCGATACATGGCGATCCTGCCAGGAGTCGAACCTGGAATCTTCTGAATCGGCTGCATCGTAGGATAACTGTGGAAGAACCGCATAAGAGAAATGGCCCTGTACAATGCACCAACTGCCAGGAGTATGGTCATACTAGGTCTTACTGCACGCTTCGCTCAGTGTGCGTAGCTTATGGAGAGCTACATGTCTCCGCCATTTGCACATCAAACAAAGAAGACCCGCGTGAAAAAAATGTGGTAACTGCGGTGGAAATCACACAGCAAACTACAGAGGCTGTCCAGTCTATAAGGAGTTAAAAAACCGGATCAACCAACGCGTGGCTTCCATACGTACTCATAATGTACCGAATGCCTTTGTACCCTCCCAAACGAATCCTGACGTCTTCTTCGCCAAAAGAGCCACGTCGCCAACAGTTCTATCAAACACCGTCAAAGGCGTCTCGTTTGCAAGTGCCTTAAAATCAGGCTTAGAAAACCGTGCCCCTACAAAAACTGCACCTCAAGTTGCGCCGCAAGAACAGCATCCCCATGCACAATATGGTAAACAATCCAATATCGAAGCTATGATAGCGTCGATGCAACAAAGCATGATGAATTTCATGACTTTCATGCAAAACACAATGCAAGAACTCATGCGAAATCAAAATACGCTGCTCAACCTGCTTGCTACTCAGCAAACAAGATAATGACCTTACTTAAAATAGCCCTCTGGAATGCAAATGGCATTCCTCGCCACAAACTAGAGCTGTCAAAATTTCTTAAGGACAAGGAAATTGACATAATGCTCCTTGCTGAAACACACCTAACTAATAGATATAATTTTGACATTTCGGGATATACCTTTTATTGCACGAATCATCCAGATGGAAAGGCGCATGGCGGAACTGGTATTTTAGTCAGAAACCGGATTAAACACCATCATTTGACTGGAATT